GTTTTTCTCAACTATAATACCTCAGTGAGAGACATCGAAGCCACATTATGGGCGGGGAGGCTGGCCGCAAATAAATTTCCCCAGGGCCACGTACTTTTCAGACACGACAGCACACGACAGCAGATGATCCGAAATATTTTAAAGAAAGCTCGACAAGATATGAATTATTATTCTAATAACCTCTAGGTATAGAGTTAAAAATAGCGTAACATGTGGCCTAGAAAAATTTAATTACGCTGAACTGGAGATTCTACTTGTAAATACTATTACGGAGTGTCATAATAAAGAAATGAAAATGTAGCTACGAAATATATATACTATTCTAATATAAATCACATCTGGACACTGTAACTATTCAAAACTACTTACGTTTATTTGAAGTTATTATTTATTATATTTACTAAGTTTATTTGAATAAAGATTATTTCTATTTCAATTTACACTATTAATTTTGCATGCCAGATTCTGGTGAAGACTGTGATTAATAAATCATTAATTATTCCATTATATTAAACAATTTTCAGTCAAAATTAATATATTTGTATTTGTCAAGGCAGAGTCGGAACTTCAGACATACCAGATTCTATTGGCCTAACATTCTCGATGGCCGTAACTGCATCGTACGTCTTTTGATTTATTATTATCATTGTCTAGCTGCTCATGGCCAACCAAATCTCGTCATAAATACTCATGCTTTGTTTTCTTTGGATGAATGCAAAAGGAATCGCCTTTTGCATACATATAAATAACACGTTATCTTATTTTATTTTCTAATAACTCACACAATTACTCATAACTGCTGCACACTCAAGTTTATTGTTCTCTTTTTTTGTAACTACTTCATCTATTTAATTAATTACTATTACTTTATAAGTATTTTCCGTTCTGTCACATATTGTTTCCGTCTCTAGAAGGGAGGATGCCAGGAGACTTATAACACAGGAAAATTTAATTTGGTGTCATGTCATCGCGATCTAACAGTCCTGTGACATTTATTTGTAAAATAATGTTATTTTAGACTGTAGAAGAAAATAAATTATAATGTCTACAATGCATATTATTTCATTAATTTACATAATTATCTATGGTAACATTACAGGATAAGAGGCTTGAAATCTTCGTCCTATGCAATGGCAACCATTGTCATATTACGGCTGAAGGTATTGCAGCTTAGTTCTCGGCAACTATTATCGTATCGCTGATGCCACATGATAATATGCTATCCGTAGTACTATTCATGTATATAGGCGATTACCACTTACCATTACATGGACCGTCAGATTGTTTTTAATTCCATTTATATATAAAAAAAGATCTAAAACGAAACATAGTATTCGGATCACACTGCACGTTATAGTAGTAACACCTGATATAACACCAGCGCCGGAGCGCAATGCACCAGTATTGCTAGACCATCATCTGGATTTGCCTCAAATTATGAATACCCTGAATACCCAAATAAAAAAAAATTAAAGTTGAAAAAATGTCCCAAACTCTGTTGTATTAAGAGTAATCATTTCCCATGGAATAAACATATAATAATTTAATAATAATTTCATTTCTTCCAATTTTTATTTCATTTCTTCCCTGTTGTTCCCTGGTACCGAAATTAAGTATAAACCGTTATTTTAGGCACCAACTAAAGGTTAAAGTTCGTTTTGCTTTGTAATAAAAAAAACAATTGGCAAGATGTTTTAAACATCTTGTCAATTGTTTTTTTATTATCTTTCTTTTATTAATCCTTTCATTCTACGGTTTTTTGTTTTTAATACTACTATACGTATAGAATTGTACTAGTGTTCTTTTTTTATTCTTTTAATAAGTCGCGTTGATCAGTCTCTTGTGCTCGTGTCTTTTAGTCTTCCATTACTGATCTATTCCACTTCTCCTTCATTTCCGTGTTCAAAATTGACTGAGTCTAAAACCCGCATTTTACTTTTAATTTTCTTCCTCCTACAAAAAAATACCACCAAATATCTGTTCCCCAAATTTCTCTTCGCAATAAAATCCCACAAATTTAGGGTAAACCACCCAATCTTGCATCACTGCAGCTCCATGCCTCTACATAAACCAATATGTAGTTCCGAAATTGATCCAATACGAGAGTAGCAGGTGCATTTTCCTATGCAATTCACACGATCCATTGAAAGGATTGGATGTCCGTTGAAAAAATAGTACAGCGAGTCGCTGCGTGGGAAATGACATAACGAAACTATCCCATACGTTAATACGCAATCACTTTTATGGGAGCTCCAACGGTAATGCTACGATTTTCCGCTAGCGCTACAGAAAACTGGCTATAACCGGTTTTAACTGGAATTGATATTGTTTTTCTTCAATAGTATATAATTTTATATATTTGATACAGAATTTAACCATGTAATATTTAGTTGATGAATAAACATATTAAATCAATATGAAATATATAGAAAATTAATATTTATATTTAGAAAAGTAAGTAATCTTGCTCATTACGCCATGACATCTGTACCCAAATTAAGAAAACTTGTACTATGGAGTACATAGTATAAGTTCATCTATTAAATGTATGAATCTTACTATGGATGAACAGATATACTTATACCTTTTTGCTACATACTTATAAGTATTACACCATTACAGTTTGTTACTGTAGTAACACCCATACTAATAGAAAATCATGCTTATGAATATGAATATTTGTGTACAGTCGAAGAGCATGAAATCTAGGTACGAAGATAGTGTATTAAAAGTATTTCACATCGTTACATCAAGTAAGTCCAATTTTAATAATTATGTAATTATGACAAATCATAAAAAGCTAGTTATTGAATACAGCCACTGCAAAAAAAATATATGTCTAATGGCATACATATACATTTTATAGCTGCTTCAATGGCAAGCTTTTGTTGTATCAGCCCTTAACAGAAACTATCTCAAAATGGCTAGCCATCTACTGTCAGCATGTCTACACTTGTGCTATGACACGTGTTTCGCTTATAATAGCATCGTTAGAAGCGATTAGTTAATCGATCGGCAATAGCTTTGAAGAGTACACCAGCCGTTCAAAGTCCAGACAATGACTGCCATACGCAGTAATGGACACAGAGTAATTAACATTTTATAACAGTCGGTACCGTCCCTATGTAACGAAAAATGAATATATGCAAATAATTTTTATAGTCTCATTAAAACTAATCTACGCTGGCATGAAGATAAAACCTTTAAAAGTACTCTGTACAAACCTTTCATCTTCTCTTCTTCAACATACATATATTAATGAACTGCTGGATATATATCCTCTTGCATAATTTTGCTCCTTCGGTCTGCGAATCTTGTCCAAGTCAGTCCTGCTATCTTTTTGTTTTCTATGTCATGTCGTTTTTTATGTCATCCAACCATCTGACAGGTGGTCTGGCTACTCTTCTGCTTAAACTCTGCTGCTTTGATGTATTTTTGACAAGACGTGGTTCTTGTACTTTAGACATTATTATAATTGTTTTTTTTTTATGGATATCGCCATTATTTTTAAAGTTATCAGCCTATTAAAATATTTATCAAAAACTTTCATATGTATATTCTACAGAACTAATGTTTTTTTTTCATATTTAGTCAGCAATATGCAACTGTCTCACTATAACATTACCTCTAAATACCCTACTAGGATTACATTTATATTTTTATTATTTTCATTGGTATTATTATCAAACCAAATATTTACTACGGTAGGTTCGTTTCTTAATTAAGTTGGCATTTCATTCGAAATAGAAAAACAGTAGAAATGAAACAAACACAATTTCTCTGGGCATACAATCTTTATTTTTTCAATACCGACTAGAGGAAAACAACGATTCTTTGGGAGTTCTAATAAATATTGCAGGTTTCCAAACAAACTAAATTATTTTAGTGTTGTACAAAATATAACTATAATTATACAATTAAACATAATAAGTAATATGTTTGTATGTGAACTATATACAACTTCTAAAACATATAAAAATCTAAAATATAATTAAGTTCTATACTGTTATATTAAAAATAAAAACTGGATATGAAATTTCAATTAAAAATAATTTACATATTCTGTTAACCTTCTAAATTTATACGTTACGTATTTTAGAAGAAAAATAATTTCAATGTAAAAATGTTCACTAAATGTTCTTATATTAACAACTTTCGGAGAAAATATTTATTATTCTAATATGACATAATTATATTTAAATTAAAAAATATTTATATACAAAAATGCGTGCCTACACGTGCGGTATTTATATTAAAATTTCATTTGAAAAATGAAGTAGAGAAGAGGAAAAAATTACAACTTGTAATTTTTTTTGTCTGCCCAAATACATTTTACAATTCTCTATAACACTAAAAAGTTCCATAAAACAGTAGAACAATATATATAAGTACACATTTTGATATAAAAAATATTTGATACTATGTACATAATATAAACTTTATTACAATTTGTGTATTAACATTTAGCGTTAAAGTTTCGACAATCAGTTTTTTTTTCGGACTACTCTAATGCTATTGGCCGCAGCTGGCCTTCACAGCTTCACCGGATGATAGGGGGCGAGTGTAGATGGTACTCCAAACCTATGGAAGGACTTATGGAGCGACTGACGGCCAATTCTCGCTTGACGGTTACAACTTTAGTCTGAGGGCACGGCTTTGCCTTCGAACCTCAGCTCAGGCCGGAGTAATTTCGATCCCCAATTGAATTCAACGGGAAATCGATCGGAGGGGCTAACAATCAGTAAGACTTCATACGCGTATACAATTGTAGGCGCCATCTTTTGATGAGAATGAAACAACCTATAACGCCATCTATTGACGTGTTGATTAGTTAATTAATAAACTACTAGATGTCCTATTGAAAATATTGATTTATTTCAAAACTGGATTTATTTCATGTGGCATTTTCTTTAACTTTCTTTAGCTTATTTATTTGTCCATATTTAACAGCAAATTCTGTAAATTTAATTAATTCCAGCAAATGCAGTTTACATAAAACCTTAACATATAAACATACAGTTTTTCTATATAATTGTCTTTTATACAAAAATAGAAAACAATATATTTTAAATACTTTTTAAATCACAGATTCCATAAATAGTAAACTAAGGGTGTGTATTCACTGCAATCGTTCTCGTTTAAAATAACAAACACTACAGCGTACATATGCAAAAGGGTTAAAGAATGCTTTCAGCTATCTTTTAGTATGTTTGCATTGAAAAACCAGTTAATCTCTTTTATACAATCGAATCGCAAACAAATTGAAACGGCATCGAAAAAAGAAACCATAGAATGGCAACACAGACGGCTCGTGTTCTCAGGCTTTACCATTTTAAAAGTATGATACCTCCATACTTTCTAGTTTCATTTTATTTCAAACCAGAACTTGAATCAGTACAGATTCATGTTAGAAACAGGGAATATGGAAATAATGAGAATTTATTTGTTTCCTCGAACTGCATGGTACGTTACTTTACACGCGGATATGCTTGGTGAATACGCACCTTAATATATTCTATTACAATTTATATACATTAGGATCTTAATGTAGAATCACCTAAGGTGAATTCTCAATAAACATACTATAAGCAATGATAAAATAAGTTCTGGCGTTGACTTAGAAGAATAACCTGAAACAATAAACAAAATAGATATGTTTACACAGGATAAAACAAAGTCATCGCCGCTTATATACTTTAAGTTACGGCACGGATTTTAACGCAGTTTTCAGCAATAAATACAGTGAATCAAGAAATATACATATATCATTACATAGTATAAAACAAAGTCGCTGTCGCTGTCTGTCCGTTCCTATGTATGCTTAAATCTTTAAAACTACGCTACGGATTTTGAAGCGTTTTTTTTAAATAAATAGAGTAATTCAAGAGGAAGATTTATATGTATAATACATGTTATAGAATAGAACAAGCCGAGAAATGTAATGAGATAAAAGATATTAAACAACAATACTCATGAATACAAATGTTTCCATCGTGCGAAGAATCGAACCCGCGAACATTGAAAGCAAAGCAGTGCTAAACCACTGGACCGATGCCGTCTAGGGGTTTACGAAAATAGCCCATATACATATAAAATATCAATTACCTGTATCTCTGTCTGACTGTCTGTATCTTGAATTCGGTGACTCAGGTGTTGTTGGCGGTGGATCTAATTACAAAACAAAAAGTTTAGTAAAAGGATTATTTCTGTTTAGAAATAGAAATAAGATTAATAGTGTATCGATTTTGTTATTATTCAGTAAACTATGTAATATTATGTTATCTGTGATCAAACTAAACAGATTCATAATAAATAAATAAATGTAATAGAATAGAATAGAATAGAATTTTATTAACTCGTTTTTACAGTAATAACATAAGAAGTACAAGAATAATTTACACATTAAAAAACGGAGTCAATGTGGACCACAACTCAGCATAATGCTGGAAATAGTTTCCAGCGCTGATTTTCAGTTGGGCCCTCAGTACGGACGCGCATATATTACAATTAAAAAATACGTATACATAAAATTAATAAATTAGATATTATACAATAAAAATAATAATATCAATCTTATATGGATTAGTACTAATCCTATATGGATTAGTCATAAAGAATAATTTTAGTGACGAAAAGAAACCGTACCATATTCACTATGAAATGTTAGTGCATATAAGAGTGGATATCAAATAATAAATTTTGTTATTTCATAATAAATGTTAACATTATTGATTAATAAAAGTAGGTAAATAATTTTAAAAGCTCCAATTCTCCTTCTTTAGGATATATCTTCAGTTTCTTGAATAGTTAGGCTTTTAGTTTAATATACAATTATATTTATACTTATATATAATCATTAAAATTTATCCCATGTTTTACTATTCAACATAGGTAAAGCCAGGCCTACTCGCTAGTATATAGGACGGTTTATGTTGATAGTCCATAATACGTTTCCGCAAATATCTCCAAGGAAATCTTATCTTGAAGCTGAATATAATCGTAAAAGTATAATGTGTGTCCATGAATAAATTTTGTGGTTATAAAATATTTGCCATTGGGGATTGTGATGTTCAAAGCGACGATCTAACATACACGGTGGATCAAAATATGTAACTTCGTATAAATATGGTATATCTATGTCGGGCGACTTTGTTTGGCGTGCCGAAAAGAAATAAGTATAAAGTTTATTCAGTGTTTTTACAGTACAAACAAAACAAATAAAAAATAATAATTCATATAAACAATATAGTATAGTAGGTTAATGAAAGTGATTCGATATGTATTAATATTGTAAGACTAGCTGTACTCGCGACTTCGTCCGCGTGGAATTTAACTTTATTTTTCTAAAATAAAAGTAGCCTAAGTTACTCCTTATTATATCAGCTATCTGCCAAAAAAAAATCCCGTCAAAATTGGTCCAGCATTCCAGAGATTAGCCGGAATAAACAGAAAGACAGACAGACAGACGCAATTGTAAAAAATGTTATTTGGCTTACAACATACATAGGAATATAAATACGATACATATATCGTATTTATATTCCTATGTATGTAGTAAAAAATGGTTATTTCAATATTACAAACAGACACTCCAATTTTATTTATATGTATATTATTTTATTTAGATTGAGATTAGATGAGATTTGATTTAGATTAGTTATGTTACTTTATTAGACGGAAAGCTATTTTGTTATTTACGCAGTTCTTAGAACCTAATTTTGTTAAATAAACAGTAAATTTTAATCTTATTTTAAGAATTATATGTAAAAATATGTAGAGAAGCAGATTCTAAGTGTCTGCTAGGGGTTATTAATCCAATAACCTCTAGCAATGTACATGGTAGGTTGATCATTACGTGGTTCCCCCTGGAAACCATCACGTTCAAATTCCTGATGAATTTGCTACGGTGCACTAACTGACTTGACCTCATTCTCATCTTATCATCCTCTACTGATGCCTCACCAACGTATACCGTACAGTGCAGGCAGACATACCATTCCATTATCATCCATTATTAAAAAGTGCACAATACAGGGTGAATCTTCAAATGCTGTTCAATCAAATGTATACACTAACCTCTATAAAATATGTCTCTTTTTCTACTGAAGTAATTGGCTAGGGGAACTTGCATATCGCACAGTACTTCAACAGTGGGTGGTAGAGCATCTATCCTTACAACGGCGCTGGTCACCGCCGTGTACCTTCCTTTGATGAGGTTGACAGATGATTTGGCTTTAACCGACCTGGGAAGATATACCTTTGTTAACACATGTAAAAATACCGTTTATTTGTGCATTAGACAAGTTTCTTGTCTGTTCTTCTTGGAAAACTTGTATAAGAAATGTTCCAGTTAATATTCTTGCCAGTTCAATGAATATAGCTAAAGTAAAAAATGGTAAGATCTTTATAGAGTATTTAGACATCTACCTTTTATATATTATAAATATTATTTTATAGACTTAAAAATGACAATTCTAAAGCACTTTATTTAGTTTATTTCAATAAATATTTTATTCTTCATTGTGATATGATTTATTACTTGCCCAAATAGAATATAAATGAAAAATGGATATCTTTTCTCTCATTTTAAATGATTAAATATGTATTTCAAACTTTTGATGCACTCCATGTTCATGAACTTTAAAAATAAATTTAACTGTACTTATTCATCTTTTTTTTAAAAAAACGCCGTATATATAATAAAATTAAGTATTAAACAACTTTAATCTCCGTTTCGGTATATTTTCTTAATTTAAAAGAGAGTAACACCAATATGACATTAAGACGATTGAAGGAGGTTTATGTTCAACATGAAAACAAGAGACGTCACCGAGATATTCGTTATTTTTTCATTTAATAGAATCTTTAGAAACATCTCCAAGACAGACTCTGCCTAAAATCTCTTGCAACCTGAAAATCTACCTATTTTAGTCACTATACATATTTCTTTGTAAACTGTGTTTCGGTTGAAGTGTAAGATAAGGCACTGAATACTGGATAAGAAGCATGTCATCTTAGTCCACCAGAATCACATGATGATTTCCCATATCCATATTATAAAAAAATATTCGCATGATGAATGCTACATGGTACATGGCTAACTACGGGGTAGTTAGCCATGTACCATGTTAGCTTCACGCGGATTCCTCTGGAAACCATCGTGATAAATTGCCATTTGCAAAGATGAGTTGACTGATCTTACGTGATGCTTTTATCATCATCCACTGGTGCCCCGATAGCGTAAACCGTTAACGCAGGCGAGTGCATAATTCCATTATCATCCATATAAATATATATACATACCTATTAGCAACTAATATCATAAGCTCAGGCTTGGGATATACTCCTTCCACAGTACAAATTATATTCAGATAGCCGTCGTCTAGTCTGTCTTCAATCATTTCGAACCTCTTTTCTGGCACTGTAACAAACAGAAACTTATATTGTCGAGTCAAAATGATAAATACGCATAGTTGTTCATGTATAGGATTGTAAATGGCTTTAAAAATAAATTAAGTTTGACAGTTCTACTCAATTGAATCTGTATACTAAACTGGACGGTAGGGAAAAAATATGAATACATAAAAACTTGACGTTCATAAGCGGCAAAAAATTCCTACATGAATAAACGATATATAATTTTCGTTTAGATTTCTAAATTTGACCATCAATAGTGGTCGAAACGTTTCCAGTAGCTGTGGTCAGGTTTCCGCACTGAATGTTTTCGCTGTTAAACATGTAATAACATAATAAAAAAAACTTATTTTTATTTCTATATGATTTCAAATAGCTTGTCAACTCTGTTCACCATATCGATATAAAATTATGTTTCCAGCTTCATTCTTAGCGATTTGTGTTTAGATATTGTAGTAGTATTCCAAGCACCAGCCTCGCACTGTAGTTTATAGTTTTTTTTTTTATATATAAAAATAAAAATTAGTTATTGTATTGACTATTCCCTTACTACCTCCCACTACTTACCCGATAAGGTGGGATATTCTTATTACTGCGCTCATTTTGTGTTTCCATGCCGAAGCCTCCGCACGTTACAATATACGAAGCTACTATCAACATGGGGAGAAGACGAAGGAACGAAGACGCGAAGAAAACATTCAACAAGAAAATTACAAGAGACTTGAAAAATATGAAAATCTTGTCGTGCGAATTTATTCATCGGAGAGTGCTGAAAAGTAGAAAATTATAAATTTGATGCGAGTGTTTTTACTGGGTATTCTCTGTCAACCAAAAAATAATGATGCGAATAAACATACTAGTATTCTCTGTCAACCAAAATGATGCGATATGTATTAATACTGGGTATTCTCTGTCAACCAAAAATGTGATGCGAGCTTACCTTACTATATTCTCTGTCAATAAAAATGTGATGCGAGCTTATTACACTGGGTATTCTCTGAAAACCAAAATGTGATGCGAGCATTACCACACTGGGATTCTCTGTAAACCAAAAATGTTATGCGAGCTTACCACACTGGCTATTCTCCGTCAAGTAAAAATGTGATGCGAGCTTACTACACTGGCTATTCTCCGTCAAGTAAAAATGTGATGCGATTTATATACTGGGTATTCTCCGTCAAGTAAAAATGTGATGAGATATTACATACAGATTCTCCGTTTATTAAAATGTGATGCGAGGTTATTTTACTTAGTATCCTGTTCAAGTAAAAGTGTGATTTAAGCTTACCACATTGGTTATTCTCTGTCATTATCTAAATTCAATTTTTATATTCTCTAGGTCTTCAGGATGTCAAAACGACAGATCGACTTTAATCCACAAAGCGTTAGTTCATTACGGCTATATAAACCAGAGCATCGGTCATTCGAGCCTGTTATTACCGTTGCACTCCAATCCTGTCATGACAACGATGTCTTCATCACCACAGTCAGGACCATCTGCACCACCACAAGAAAATAAACCACAAGAAAATATAGGTACAGAAGATGAGGTTATCCATGCCGCAGACATATTAATTCTCGAGAACGCGCCAAATCAAAGACTAATTTTGGTAAAAACATCGGATAAAGAATGTTGCATCGAGATGAAAGGAAATATTGGAGAAGGGCCTCCCAAAGGAAGCTCGTGATGATATTCTAAAAAATACTTGATACCTGCTAATTGCAGTCTAACATCTAAAGAAACCTCTCTCAAAAAAAAAAATTCCATAAAAAAAAAAAAAAAAAATACCTACCCATCACTCCGTGTGAATTCCTTAGATATATTTTTGACTTAAGACGAAAAATACAATTAATGAAAACAAGTATCAATTTCTCATAAATACAAACAGAGTTAAAATTGGTGGATGAATGTTTCATCCACTATAAACTTCCACTTCGATTCAATAATTTTCTGATCTCTAATTGTAAAATAATTTTGTGTAGACATACTTTCTGACACGTCAGGTACCGGTTGGGGAGTGTTCTGTGGCAATAAAAAATCGAATGGGTATTCGAAGGATAACAAACGTTTACTACACATTATAAAATAAGAAATTTATTATTTGGTTTAAAATTATATGCATCGGATTTATCCAATTGTGAGGTATTACTTAGAATAGATAATGAAAATGTGCAACACCTGAGGGTGTTTGGTGTGTCTTAAATTACAATGAACAAAACAAATCTTCCAAAAATGCATGAGAAGATCGTAAAATAATTAATATTAACATTATTATATTATATTAAATACTACAATTTTTGAACTTAAAAATGAAGTTAGCCGATTTATTTAGCTTTTAGAAATACAGGATAAATTAGTGATTTTATTGATTTACAAGTTGTCACAAAGTGAAGCATGGATGTAAAGTCAAATGAAAAAAAAAAAAAATTTTAAATGATTAAATATGTAGAAACATTTGCAGTTGATGCATTTTCAATTTAAAAAATAAATTTTTTGTATTTTTATTCCACCATTTGTATTACTTCGGAAACTGATATATATAATAAATGCCAATTTTAGTCACTATAATACTAGATAATAATATATTGGAGCCATGGTTTACATTTCACAAATCTCCTTTCAAACGATCCCAAATCTATGTTCAGTCTGTAAACAAGAGACGTCACCTAGAATGTCATTATTTTTTATTAAATAGGTCCTTATCATCAAGATATGTAAAGATAACGCTTGCAAGAAAACACATAAGGACCTGAAAATCTAACAGTTTCAACCTATGTTAAAATCGTGTTTCTACAATGAAAACTGTGTTTATCCTGCAAGATGTGTTTGAGTGCATATCTAAACAAAACACACAGTTAATGAAAATCTAATTGTAATAATTTATTCATTAGTCATAAAAAAGCTCATAACAATGTTTCTTGTTAACGGATGAGTCAATTGGTTAAGGATTGTCTGCTACATAGTAGCATGGTTACCGCTGTATTCATCGCGCATAGTACACCATGACGTGTACGTTCCATTTCGCAAAGAATAGACTTAGATAGATACTTAGATAGCCAATAGTCAACGTAGATGTAATTAGAAAAACTGCAGGCGAGATACATTCTCCTTAATTACTGTAATTATATATACAATGTGTTATGCATGTATATTATAACATAATAAAATTATTGTGTTATAATATGCATGTTACAGTACAAATTTATTTCACTACATTTTCCGCACACTTTATTGACAATTCTCTGAACATCCTACAATATGGCAACTGTAAGAAACAGAAACATAATTAAAGATCAAACGAACTTACCAAGTGAAGTTCGATCATAATTATGTGACAGCTTCAAAAATAAATTTATTCACACCCACCCACTTGATGCATTCATATATGTATATAATTATGTGCGTATTGTAAAAATGGAATAATTTAGCTGAGGTTCTTTCTAATATCCCAAACCCGTACATAAAGTAAAGTGTGAAGCGAAAAATAAAATAAAAACTACATAAAATTTGAACTGAAAACTTTACTTTAAACAAAATAGCGCAGTAACAAGAATATCCCACCTTATCGGGTAAGTAGTGGGTGGTAGTAAGGGAATAGTCAATACAACAAATAATTTTTATTTTTATAAAAAAAAAAAAAAAAACTATAAACTACCGTGCGAGGTGGTGCTTGGGAATACTACTACAATATGTAAACACAAATCGCTAAGAATGAAGCACATAATTATGATCGAACTTCACTTGTAAGTTCGTTTGATCTTTAATTATACGACACAGAAATGTGACAGAGGTCTATTTAGGTATAACAATTTTAGTATTCACATAACGAAGTTTTTTCTGTGGTGTCTTTGTATATAAGTATTTGTGTATTTATGTATATAAGTGACAGTTATTGACGTACCATCTAATGAGCCTTCTAATTTACTATTTCAATCACAGTTTTAAATTCGACGCGGTCATTATTTATAATTAGTAAAAATCACGGTATTTAAATTGTAAATTGTAAAAATATCAGAAACTCAATAAATTATACTTATTTTAATCACATATCAAAAAAGTAAAAAAAAAAACGTAAGAATATTAAGTAATAAAACCTTCATTATTAAAATCCTTCCGTAGTAACTGTCTTCAAATTCAGTATAATGTGAACTACAAATTTTAGGCAGAACATTCAACTGTTTGCGATCACGCAAGCGGTAATGGATACCGAAATATGTAAACGAAGATACATAACTCCTCTAGAAATATCGTAACTTTCATTTTCAGACTTTATATATAGTCGTGTAATTACTACAGGATGCTTGAGATTTTCATTTCTTTCAATTACCTACTACTTTATTTTTATATTATTATTTTATTACAATTATATTCCTTAATTGGGAGAACTAATTAAATCCATATACAAATTTTCATCTTTATCGATATGTTGGATCCATTTGGGATAAAATTATATTTAAGTATATTGTTCATTACACGTTACTCTAATGAAACAGCAGTGTTAAGGCCGGTAGCGTCCGGAGGACACCGACAAGACCCGACCGTAGTTTCTTAGTACTGCGAAAAAATTGATCATCTTATATATAAAATTCTCGTGTCACAGTTTTCGTTCCCATACTCCTCCGAAACGGCTTGACCGATTCTCATGAAATTTCGTGAGCATATGGAGTAGGTCTGAGAATCGGCCAACATCTATTTTTCATCCCCCTAAATGTTAGGGGTAGACCACCCCTAAATTTTTTTTTTTATTTTAAGTCAAAACAGCGTTTGCCGGGACAGCTAGTAAATTTATAATTGTAAAGAATCAGCCATTAAACTAATTTTATTAACAATATTTGTACTATTCGAGCTATAAAAGCTCCAACAATATTATTTTATTATATTATAACAATATAACTTTATATAAAATTTCGTTAACATCCATTGAACAGTTTAGTCGTCAATAAAAAATGAACTAACAGATGGTCATATTTTCGCATTTATAATAGTAATTTGGATAATACTTTAGTATTCATAATGCAGTAGTTTATTGGATAGCTCAGGTTACTAAACAATGTACACAAATTTATTGGAATGCCTAGCAGTTGGCAAACAATGGACTAGAAATCGCGTGCCTTGATATCGGTACGTAGATTTAGACTTAGAGGTACTAGAGGCATAATAAAATAAGCTACGAGCTTTGAATACATTCGATTTAATATCAACTGAATTGTTTCTGTCAACATCAGTAATAGACTGTTATGTTATTGGATATATTGTTACATTATTGTAATCGTTTATAATTTTAAATATATGTACTTTCATATATTGTTAATGATTAATTGTTCGATCGACATAAAGTCAAGTGAGATGTTAGTTATGTAGAGCAAAGTCTCATATAGATTGTGTAATTTAAATATTTTTAGCACAAAAACCGAAATAAAAAAAAATTGAAATGCAAAAATCATTTATTCATGTAGGACATTTTATTCGCTTATGAACTTCAAGTTTTTTGTATTAATATTTTTTCCCTATTAGCGTATCACTTCTATTCTATTTAAATCTTTACCGCGCTTCAAATATTGATGGATTTTATCGTATTATAAGCGAAATGGCCATTTGTATTCCATTAGCCTCCCATCTTTGCCTTTGTTTTAGTTCAACTTGTTTTGTAAAAAAGTGATAATTCACGAGTCATTGTTTTTATTTTACTTTTTGGAGCTTGTAATTTATTTACTTTTGTATTTAATGGATTTATTTGTGTGATAAAAAAAAATATTCAAATAAAAAATCATTTATTACACGTAAGGAGAGATTTTATTTTAATACTATTATGAACTTCAATGTTTTTTGAATTAATATTTTTTTCCCGTATACTCATGTATTGTGCATTATCACAGCGGTTTTGCTATTCTATTTAAATCTTTACCGATACAAACATTTGTATTCAAATGATTGTTTGTATTGTGGATTTTATCGTATATTATAAGCGAAATGGCTACCAGTTGCCAATTACCTATAACACTCCATTAGCTAGATAGTACTGTGTGATTTTCCTTTATTATTTTTAGTTCAACTTGTTTTGTAATTTCAGTACACAGATCAAATCTAGAGAGAGACTATTCATAGAAAATTGATTACTTGACCGCACATTTGTATGAGAGTTTTAAAGAATATTTTGAATTTTTCAGTTTTATTTTTTTATTTTATTTAGGAATGTTATTTAGTTTTATGAACATCATTAACTTTCGATTGTTTATGACCTTCATCATTTATCATACATATTTTTAATTAGTAAGTTTTACAGTTAAATTCATGAACGTAAAATCGATTATCTCGAGCATCCTTTTCTAAGCCTCCTATAAATAAACCTAAAACCATTCGCCTAGACTTAGATGCACCAGCATATGAAGTTGGCTTATGTAATTTCCGCTTCGACTCGGCTCACAAAGCACCATGTTAGTACGAAGCTTATAACATTTCTGGTTTCTGATATTACTACAGTTTATATTTCATGTACAATGTGGGATACGTTGTGCAAATTGGAATTGTTATGAAAGAAACAAAAAGCGGTAGGCTCTCAGCGAAATGTTGGTATGTCAAATAATGTGTTGTGTTAAACATAACATCGACAGTTGACAATACTTTCTTACTACCTCATCTGGGATAACATTCGCCACAATATGGTTTTTAGTTGAAATAATGTTAATGTCAGGAAGTTATTTTAAATTTTGGTGCTTTATGTATTTTTTTTTATAAATCGTTAATATTAAAATTTTAATATCGACCGAGTAGTCGAAATGAGGAATACATATCGCTAGGAGCAAAAATGTTGAAATGGATTTAGAATTTCTGTTACAAAAAAATCATCAAAGTCATTTAAATGACTTTTGGTTTAACGATGACACCGAATAATTTCATAGTATACGCAAGTTATAAGTAGCTTGCCTACTGCAGAAAAGGGATTTCGATAATACTGGCCACCAATAAAATATGTATTTTATTGGTGGCCAGGAAGTTTTAGTCTAGTCTAGTCTTAGTAAAGTCTTAGTCACATTTCGAATTTAAAAGAAAAATATTCAATTTAAAATAAGAACTGAAAGGAAAAGGACGCTTCGATTTTAATAATTTTAAATAAGAAAATGAATTAAATAATTGATGTAATAAAATTGTTATTAATAAAATATAAACTGGAGTACGTGGCTATTAAACTATACTACACATCGGGACGTTCCTGAGCAAAGGTTATGTTTGTTCCAAAACCAAACCAAAACCAAAGTTATACTTTGAGTTTTTAGAGTGAGGAAAACGTTCTTTCTGGTCAAGGTCGTATTTCTCTTTCTTTTCCATAAATTATTTTCTTTTGTAAAATACAATCCACTATCTATTTTTATTTATTCTTTATACGGATTCGTAATCCAACAAAATATGTAAAATAATACTCACCAAAAATAGTCATAGGTTTCGTCTTCTGGTCCTCTGCTAGAAACGTAGATACGACACATGTGTAGTTCCCAGTGAGGTCTGGAGAAGGATTCTTTATACGCAACGCCCGGTGTTGTGCATATGGATTGTGCGAAGATTTGTAATTCAAGTCCAACTGTAAATAATATCCCTAGCTTATTCTTTTCATCTTATTAGAAGAAACACCTGCTTTTTTAATACTTTGGATGAGATAGAGTTTACAAAGTTATCGGCGTTGCTTATATATCTATCTATATCATCTATAACTAGCTAAGTAGGTAGCTCTAAATATTAAAAAAATATTTCATATTTGTATCAGTCAAGTTAAGAAGAACTTGTGTTACTAGACATAGTAACATAAGTTCTGCCTAGCTTGACTAGATAGAAGTGTGTGAATTATCCTGGGTTATTATTTCATTATATATAGTCGAGACTTGGCATTTTCCTTCGCATTCTTTAATTTCAATCAAATAAATAATATATATATATATATATATATTTCAATAGATAGACAAATATTAATAAAATAGATAGAATTGACGTACATAAATGGCTGCAAGTTTCTCTGTATATTAAATAAATTCTTTCGAATTCGAGTCGCAAGTTTTGGGCATGTCCTCAAATAACCGCCATCTTAAACTTATCTAAACTCAGTAGACATGTTAATGTTGATATGACGGGGTTCCTCCCCCCCTCGCCCTTTCCCCCCTCATTCTCCACATTCATCACTGTCACTGAGAATATGTGGTTAATGTTAGACAATACCGGTCCATTGACTTTGTGCGTCGGGCATAAAAGGTAATAAATTATGTAGGCCATTACGTCATCAAGTGGCAACATGGTATGTGATGCCAATAATCCACAAGTCTTGTAAAATTAAATGCAATAATGTAAACAGTTGTTCAATTTAACGTAACTTAATATAACAATAGGGCTGATAACTCAAATATAATATATTTATAAGATTTAAGTTGGCAACCCTATTAAAACTAAAACGTAAATATTATATTCCTGCATTAAAAAATTTATTTAGAGAATTATTAAAATTAGCATGGAGGTTTTCTTCTAATTCTACAGGGATGTAAAATCTTTTGATTAAGAAATACCTAATAATCATAATTTATCATCTGTTCCAGAAAGAAGGCATTTCTTTCATTTTTTCTCAAAGGGAGCAAACCGATGTAAGGTTACAGAATAACATATTAGTATATAATCATGTGAACTTAATATATAGTTAAAATTATTATATATGGCATTGTAATTATAATATTATAATATGACAAAAAATTATACATACGATAAATCCTTTACAAATATGTGTATACGTTCTGGATGAATATTCTTTTTTAAACTTGATTAACAAATCATTAATCACACTTTAGTACTATGTCAGTTTAACATCATTCACAGTCCCATACATTATTAAATTTTGTTCATAATGCACAAAGTTTCAAACGTTTATTTCATAGTTTTTCAACCTTATTCTAAAAATTCTTAAGGCTTGCGGCTGAGACATTATTACATAGATTTGGTTCGTACAGAATGGGACTCACCTTATCCTTTAAAAGTCCTAAGGCTTGCGGCTTCTGCGGTGGTATCCATTGGTACACCAACTGTGACTTATCCATATAGAACCACTTGACAACTAGACCCATCACGTTATCCGTGATGTAATCACAATCCAGTGTCACGGAATCCATGGTACCGTATTGTACCACTTCTGGTACGCGCATGTAGATGATGCGAACTGATTGAACACCTGAAAATATATAACATCCATACAAATCCATACGAAGGAAAATCTGACCGTTTATTTTATCTTTTACAACTTAATAGTTGAACGGATTTTAATGAAATAAAATTTGAAGATCGATTGTATTCCGAAAAACGACACAGACTATCATTACTTATAGACTATCATGTCTATAGATCATCATGACTATAGACTATTATTACTATGGACTATTATGACTATATAGTAATTATAGTCTATAGTCTATAGACTATAATTACTATCAGTTTCAATAAATAGTTTGTGGAACTTGATCAAATTTTAAATATTATTAAAAAGTTATTTTTTAATAAAAAATCGATTCACGTAGAAAAATATTCTGAGGTAAAAGATAGCAGATATCAAAAATACAGAGATTTTTACTTAAAAGAAGCAGACGAAGTTAGAAACAACTAACATCATATAGAAGAACAAATTGACCAGGCTGCTAGTAACAGTACATATTGCAGTACCTACTGATCAGACTTTACAGATATTTCATATCTCATATCAACAGCAATCTCATATTTATTTCAGATTTTTGCGGAAATAATCTGGCAGAGAATTGAGAGAATTCAAGCGGGTGCATTAGCCGTTTTCTCATCCGGAAACATCATATTATTGGAGGAAAGACTCCGCTAAAATATTGTTTCGTGGTTTCCTATCAATTCCCGGGATCCGACTGAGTATTTCCCTTTCTGTGACAATATTTGAAGGACGTAGGATATAAGCTAAGTAGGTATTGTGTTTAAATCTATGAAATTTGAATTAAAATAGAAATGTTTTTTATTACAGTAAATTATTTTATGATTAAAATTATAAGATAATGAAAGGTTTTTGTGGTTTAGAGTACAGCCTCATTTCCAACTGATTCGATTTACGAACAATACAAATATAATGTGTGATTATTTATATTGGTTTGGGTGTTTTCTATATTTGTGCATTTGGGTATAACTTTCAGTTGTTTAATTCCCATATGTACAAACTCTGCTTAGTTTAGTACTAGATGGAGCTGTGTAAATTATCCTAATTTATTATTCCGATCCCAATTTCCGATAAAATTTTCTTCCAGAGAATTGAATTACTTTTATTCTGGTCCCATATAAAATATGCAATGCAGCAAAATATACATCATTCTTAAATTTTACTATTCATGGATTTTGTTGTCAAGATATCTTCTCTCTTCAGTGATTAACGGGTCGCATTATCCGAAGAGGATGGAGGTTGGAGCCTCGGGGCTTATAACCCCTTTCCCCTTTCAATCTAGTGAAGAAACACCGTTAACAAATTAAATTAATCTAAAATGTTAGATTCAAATATATTTTATTTAAATAAAATTTAGTTCAATATTTATGTAGACCTCATGCTCATCCTATCATCTTTCACTGGTAACCCGCCAGCGTAATCCTCTTAGCACAAGCCTGTGCACCATTCCATAAACCTGAATTAAAAAAATGGAACATATGGCGGACTTAATACCTTGTGGCAATATCTACCAGGCAACCATGAGTGTTGCAGAGATAACTTGTTATATGTTGCAGGAAAGGAAATTTATCCATTGTTCGATAGTTTATGTGCAAGAAGATTCCACTTCCATATCGCAAGGCAAGGATACATTACTGGAACCGGCGAGCGTGACAGCAATATCCATTGTCCGCCGACGTTGCGTAAATATACACTGGCTTTATTCTTTGCGAAAAATCGTTGCATTAGAAGACTGGATCTTTGTCCATAAAGCCTTGTGGATTCGACGCTTCATACTTGTAAAATACAGGATATTAAAAATCATTATACAAAAGAAATATAAGATTTCCAAACATTATTATACATACATATTTTAATATATTGAATTAATATTAATTTTTATACAGAATAATTTCGACATAACTATATAAAAGGAGATTTGAAACTGCCGAATCTACATTGAATGAAAATTACAATACTAATTATTACGAATAGTTTCTCGTTAATGTTCTAGAGTATGTTCTTTTAATTGTCTGCCTCAACATTAACTAATAGTTTCCCTGTTATTAATATAAATATGCAAACAACCCTAGTTTTAGAATAGTTTCTGCACTTCCTTAATAGCTCAAAAGAAAAGTACAAAACGTGTCTATAATTAAAGTAGATTTGAGGTATTTTTTTTTATTTTCTACATTAAATTAAATTATTATATTATTTCAAACCCACCCTCCAATTTTTATTCATAAAAACGTCAGTCTAAACTGTCTAGTCCCCCCCTCCGATCGATGCCCCGTCCAATTCAAACGGGAATCGAAATTACGACGGCCTGAGCCGAGGTTCGAACCCCTAGTGGTGCCCTCAGACTAAAGTCGTATCCGTAAGGCAGGAGTTGGCCTTCAGCCGCTCCATAAGTCCTTCCGTGTGTTTGGAGTGCCATCTGCACTCGCTCCCTAACGTCCGGTGAAGCTGTAAAGGCCAGCTGCGGCCAACAGCATTAGAGTATGTAGTCCGAAAAAAAAAATATGTCTAGTCCACAGTAAACGCTGATAGTTTTAGTTGGGTACATATAAGAATTTAAAACTATTGTTATAAATTTTTAATACACCTATTTTACAACCCTTCTCACCAACCTTTCTTCATTAAAACGTCAGACTACTGTGGAGTCCACAGAAACGCTGATAGTTTTAGTTGGTTTGTTGTACTTGTCATGATATAATTTCTTTTTTACTTTCGTCTATAAACACCACTAGAATGCAGCCGTTTCTGAATAATAATAGTGAACAATTATGGATGCAGATAATAAAAAGCAAAATGGCATATGTGTGCTCGAGACGCGGAACCAGGGGTGTTCAGTGGAGCGTGCGCCGGACCGCCGGACCGCCGCCGCGCCGGCGCAACTCGCTGTGCCATACCGACAAGTGTTCTTGCAGATAATACGAAGTGGAAGTTTCTAGAATTTTGTAATATAGTCATAATATTCGACTCGATAAATACGAATTTCATACATATTCATATTTACTGTAACCTTTAAAATACATACTACATCCTCGTAGCTGCCTTTATCCGATTATTAGTCGGCGCAGTATGTAATCTTCTTAAATGCATATTTAATGTTATAACATGTCTATTTATCTGTCTGTTTTTAACATTGTATCCGTTATGATCCCTAACCATTCTCGATGGAAAATCTACGTCGTTAATCCAAGTGAATTCGCTACACTAGCCTAATTAACCGCATGCAGAATTGTAATACAGTTGCTATTCTTATTTTTAAATATATTAAAATCTACAGATTATGTAAGGACTAATTAACAGTTGTAATCGAAACGTATAGCTTAGCTTATAACTGCAACTCCATCATTTCCAATCATCTTTCAATTTTCATCATTGTTAAGATGCAAAAAATAATAAATAAAAAAAAAATCATTTAGAGTATATACACATATAATATATTGTAGGTAGAAATGGTGGTGTTATTGCTTAAATTCTCTCTTCCAGACAACCTTTGGGTAGAGGAGAAAAGAAAAATATTATTAAACAATTTTTATTATACAATCTCCTGAAATTGCTATGATGTATGGATGGCCCCTAATAAATGTTATTAGCCATAATGGGCCATCCATACATCATAGCAATTAAGATATCTCATATTAAGAGCCCTGACCTTATCATTCACTGATGCTCTGCTAACGTATGCCAATGCAAGCAGGATCATCATTATTCGTAAAAAAAAAACACTTTAAATTAGGCAATTAACCAGCAAATTAATCTGTACCCTCCACTTCCTGGCACGTGTTATCATTATACTCCATCCCTTTCTATCAAGGAGTAATGCAGTACGTAAGAAAGAGACGGTCGGCATTCTTATACACATGTCTTGGTAACCAGGTGTGACCGGCGCGTGTGCGTTCCACTTGACATGCTGCTCACATTGTGGTGGCAAGCCATTGAAGTTTTATATATAAAGATAAAATAAAGAAGTATATAGTAAATAAAAAGTTTACCATTCGGTAGCATGCAAGTTTTTTATACATTTTTTTTTAAATCCTATGACTTTTTATAACAAAATACTTAGATTATACTTATATATATTTTTTTCGAATATTTTTCGAACTACTCCAATGCTATTAGTAGCAGCTGGCCTTTACAGCTTCACTGAACGATAGGGGGCAAGCGCAGCTGGAACTCTAACCCTGCGGAAGGACTTATGGAGTGGCAGAAGGCCAATTCCTGCCTGATGAATAGGACTTTGGCCTGAGGGCAACACTAGAGGTCCGACCCTCGGCTCAGGTTTTTGTAAATTTTGAAACGGGCGGGGGATTGATAGATTATCTTAGTTATTACCTCCAGTAGTTAAAAACAAATGTTCAATTGAGAGTAATGGCAAACAAGCTGGCTGGCTGGTAAATGGGAAGACGTTTAGAAAAACAAAGAGCGCCACGGATATCGCGTCATCATTAAAGGCCTAGGTGATCTAGCACACCACCTTACTTCTGATGATCGCAAGTTCGATTCAAACATTTTTGTCCATATTTAAAAATATATATTTCTGTTTATATCTATTTATTAGGCACATTGATTGAAGTAGAAAAAGTATAATCCATCACATTTAAAATAAGTATTGTTGCTAAGTAACAGTTTGTATGTAACGTGCAACTGCGATCGGAACGAAGTAAATTATATTTACTACTATATACGTAATCCACTCAATATCTCTATCACTATTGCCTGGTACCCATAACACAAGCTCTGCTTAGCTTGGAACTCCATCTAGTTCCTATTACACTGTCTGAATTGTCCATATTTAATATTACTATTATCATATGTTGTCCCTAACACCCCTAATGCATTGGCATTTAGAAGCACTAAATATGGATTTTTAATAAAACATTGTTCTATTAAAACTCATAAAGATAACCAGTATATTTAGAACCGTACAGACCCTACTTTCCGCTACAGATATTTTAAAATTAATTATAGTAAACAATATATATACGGACCCTTCTTAGCACGCGACTAAGACGTTCACAGTTCGTTGCATATGACACGAGCACAGGAATCTCGCTCTCATGAGCACATACTGTTTTTTTTGTAATGCCTTCAATATGTGGTTGTTTACGGTATTTGAACATTATCGTAAAAGAAATGTTTCTTATAAAGTGCACGCTAAAGATTATGGACAGCATACTAAGTTTAGAAAGTGCCGATAAATAAGTAATGGATGGAGAATTGTGTGTAGTAGAAAATATTTTGTAATAATTTATAAATCATTTTTCTTTCAATAATATTATTAATAAATAATTCATACACCGACACCTAGTCCCAAACTAACAAATCCAAATAAATACAATACTAATACTTCTAAATACTAATACTAACTGTTCTAATGGACAATTAACACAGCGTCATCTAGTCCCTCGGTAAGCAGAGGTCGGTAATACTTTGTTTTTTTGTAAATACGTACATAATATACATAGAATACATCCAATCCGATACAAACAATCATATGCACGAATACAGATGTTTGCACCGTACGAGGAATCGACCCTGTGACCATCGGAAGTAAAGCGATGTACTTAACCGCTAAACCACCAGGGTCAATAATAATAATAGTAATAATAACATATTACAGGTAACTTTAGGGTTGACAACGTGCATATGACACCCCTGATGTTTCAGGCGTCCATAGGTAGCCTATGGACTACCAAGTGCTAACCGTTTACCCTCAAATGGGCTGTATAATTATTTCCCACCTACGTAGTATAAAAAACTTGATATTATAACATTATTATATATAGCTTAAGGACTAACATATATAGAAAATAACAAAATAAAATAAGATATTGTGTCTGTGGTCATGACGCTGCCGACGGCAATCTGCCGCTATTCAAATAATAGAAATGTATAAATACATTTTTATAAGTTATATATAAGTATATAAACGAAATCCAGATCAATACTAACAATTATATTCTCATGAATAATGGGCATAATAACATCCTATATTATTGCATATTAGAAAATAGGTAGCCAGCTAATATGGCATTTCAAGTACTTAAAAAAGACTAAAATTCTTAGCTATTCTCTGTTACAATCTAAATAACGTCATAGTAATAATAATAATAAAAGCTGAGAAATCAAAACATACCAATAATAATAATAAGCCCACACGTACACGCACACACACACACACACACACACACACACACACAGACGCACACGCACTCGCACACACACACACACACACACACACACGCGCGAACACACTCGCAAACGCACACGCACGTAAGTGTGGAAAAAACTAGCAAAAATTGAGAGAGTAAGAAGATAGTGAGGATAATAATAATAATAATAGGAGAATTAACACAGCGCCATCTAGACCCAAGTTAAGCTAGCTAAAGCTTGTATTATGGGTAGGTACTAGATAACTGATAAATATACATAGATTTTTTTTTGTAACTACATACATATTATATATAGAAACCGATACAAACAATCATACTCATGAATACAAATACTTGTGCCGTGGGAGGAATCGAACCCGCAACCATCGGAAATAAGGTGGTGTGCGAAACCACTAGACCACCGAGGCCGTCAATAAATGATAAAAAAAAGACTTGTAGACGCTTAATACAGCACATTGACAGAAGTGGTTATAACAATAAAATATGTAAAAAGAACTTATAT